CAGATGCTTTCCTTTCCATAGTTCGGTCCTATAACCAGGAGTGCACCTATATTGTAGACTTAATGCAGTTTAGCACTGGGATCTTGGAAGTTTTAGTTTGGACAGGCACCAGGATTCTTTGGCAGGGAAGGCTAAATACCCTGTAAAACTACAACTCCCATGTCTCGATAGCATTAGGCCAGGGCAGTTAAAATGGTTTTAAACTGCATTAATTCTACAGTGTAGATGCAGCCTATGAAACAAAGTAAATGACAATGTCTTAGATTTTTATCTCAATTATGCTTCCAAAATCTCAGGATTTTATACATGGTCCACCCATTTCCTTATAACAAGATATACAGCTTCTGGTGAACTACAGATCAAGGACCACTTCACACAGGGCACATTTCAGGAGCAACTCCAGTTCTGTAGCAGCTTTGCCACGGAGCCTGCTGACTCCCATCACACATATATGAACCATTGCAGAGATTAAGATCCTCCAGGGAGGCCCTGCTTTCCATCCTGCCATTGTCACAGGCACGGTTGGTGGAGACGAGAGAAAGGGCCTGCTCGGTGATTGCTCCCCGGCTATGGAACTCCCTTCCTGGTGAAATCAGGCCGGCCCCCTTCCTCCTGTCCTTTAGGAGGATGGTAAAACTTGGCTGTGGGATCAAGCTTTTGGGACAGGGCAATAAAGCGGCAGTAGGAAAGATGACAGGGCCAATTAGATTTGACGCAGATGACTAGGACGGTTTTAAATGGTGTATTTTAATATTTTGATAAATGTTTTTTAATATTTATGTATTGTATGTGAATTTGTGTCCTGGCATTGAATGTTTGCCATTTATATACTGTGCAGAAGAGAGGAAAATGTGTTTTAGAAATAGGAGTAAACCACTTTTAGGTTTCTAAAAGAGAAGCAAATATATTTGGAATGTTTTAAAATACTGATCCTACTGTAATCTTTTTTTCTATGCTTTACTACAACTCTGGAGACTGAGGTTCAGATATCCGCTTGAGCAAAAAAACCAAACCAAAATGACCTTTGGAATGTCACATTCTCCCAACTTTGCAGAAATGCAATGGCAAACTGCCTCAGAATAAATCTTGCTAAGAAAGTCCTGTGATAGATTTGCCTTAGGGTCACCATAAGTCAGAAATGACTTGAAGACAAAACATATTAAATAAGAGATATGAGAAATTCAGTTCGGTTTCTCTTACTATTTTTCTATCAGTATTCACCAATATTCACAAATATCTTCATCCTATAAAAGGAAAGAATCTGGGTGTTTGTTCATTTGTTAAGTAGAATGTGGAATAAACCAAAACCAACAAATGTGTCTACTTGGGCCTAGGACTTTGAGTTCTTTACATAAAAAGACTAGGTTTGAATCCCAATGAAGACCGTTCTTCTATTGTTGCTACATGCCTTGAAGAAAACTCCAATATATGATGTTTTGTGTGCTCTAGTTTCTCTTCAGATTGTATAAATCTTTTGCCTTTTAAAACAGTATTTTTGTGAATTTTGTATGGTGACTAATCCTTTTTGCAAAAAAATTTAAAGTTCATTTTTTTAAAAAAAAAATCTCTCAAAAGGCACAAAAACTAATGTTAATCTCACCCCAAAAGGAGAAAAGTTTAATCTTTTGTATAAAATAAGGTTTATATTCCTACTTTATTATTATTATTATTATTATTATTATTATTATTATTATTATTACTTAGATTTCACAAAACTTAATATTGGAATTTTATTTTCAATTTCTAGCTTATTCTTTAGTAATAGTTTGAAAGTGAAATATGCTTTTCTTTTAAAGTACTAGAGGTCCATGAAAGTGACACTTGTCTTCCTTTTTTCTACACCTACATGTCTGTCTTTCTCTAGAAGTACCTATACAATACAGATGGTCCACTCACCTTTCATTGATTACACTAGTGTTAAGTGTTGGATGGGGTTACACTCTCTCTGAAGACACAAGTTTGCAGCTTGGGAGCTCTTCTGGACTTGTCGCTGAGCCTGGAACCTCAGGTTTCGGTGGTGGCCAGGGGAGTATTTGCACGATTAAAACTTGTGTGCCAGTTGTGCCCGCACCTTGGGAAGTCAGACTTGGACACGGTAGTCCACATTCTGGTTACATCCCAAATAGACTACTGCAATGCACTCTGCATGGGGCTGCCTTTGAAGACTGTTTGGAAGCTTCCAATGGTCCAACAGGTGGTCGCCAGATTGCTCACTAGAGCGGTGTACAGGGAACATACAACCTCCCTGTTATGTCAGCTCCACTGGCTGCCAATCTGCTACCGAGCACAATTCAAAGTGCTTTCTTCAGCCTATAAAGCCCTATATGGTTCTGGTCCAGCTTATCTGTCCAAATGTATCTCCTTCTATGAACCACCATAGAGTTTAAGATCATCTGGGAGGCCCTGCTCACAGTCCCACCTCCCTTGCAGGATTCTATTTTAATATTTATTTAAGTGTACATTGTGTTTTAAGGCATCGAACCATTGCCTGTATGTAAAGCTGACTTCAGTCCCCTCCAGGGTGAGAAAGGTGGGCTAGAAGTGTCTAAATAAATAAGTAAGTAATATTCAGCATAAAAAGCAATGCAATTTGTTAAATCAAATGAATGGACACTTGAACATCACCAATATTGTGACAACAGCTTGAGTAGCTTCGTGAAGTAAACTCTCTCGTCCTAGTAATCTACCCCAAGGTTTTTTATAGGTATAGATGGAGGTGTATACTCATATGGTACATCCACTTAGCTTGCTTAGATTCATTTTCTTCTCATAATTATTAAGAAATAGTGTTTTTTTTGGGGGGGGGGACAAATTGTCTTCTTGCTTACTCATAGCTTCACAGACTCCCTCTAAATTCATAGTACTCAGGAGGCAGCTTGAAGAAGATATTTCGTTTAAAGAAATAATGTTTACACCATTTATATTGTGTCCCATAATGGAGGTTCTCTGGGCAGCTTTAAAATACAAATTGGAACAAAAACAAAACAAAACAAAAATGCAGTTACAAAACTCAGCAGCAGAAAATGAAATGAATATATCAAGGCTCTCAGCAGCATGCAACATTTTAGAGAGGTATTTAAAGTTGCAAAGGATATTGGAAAAGAAACACTGGAATACAGAATGGTTTTAAAAATACTTTTTAAAAGCCTAAGAAATTGAAAAGGTATTCACATGAGATTCTTCAGAGAAACCCAAGTAGATGCCATGATATTTTTTTTCAGAAGAAGGCTTTTCAGAATGAGGATGCCAACACTGAAAAAGTTATCTCCTCACTCGGGGCCCTTCTATACTGTCCTAAAACCTGTAATGGGTAACTGGTTTACCTGAGGCATAATAATAATAATAATAATAATAGTAATAATAATAATAATACACTTTATTTATAACCCGCCACCATCTACCCAAAGGGGACTCGGGGCGGCTAAAATGAGGCCAAGCCCAAAATAATACAACATAATAAACACACAGTAACAAAATACATCATAACAAAATATGAAATAACAAAATCAACAATATAAAACAGCATAGTAAAACCAGACACAGAGGGCGGGCCAAATGTATGAGGCAAAATGTTTAAAAGTTAAAACCCTGAGTGAGATAGGGATAAAAGTGCACGTGTAGGAGAGGAGCCCAACAGGTAGGAACCATGGGATTTAGCCATTTTAGGGGTGGGAAGATGCTTTATTCTGAGGGCAGCTGTAGGCTAAGACAACCAGATGGGTTGAGTGGTCATTCTCCAAAAGCACAACGGAAGAGCCAGGTTTTTAGGTCTTTCTTAAAACCAGCTAGGGTGGGGGTTTGCCTGATCTCCCTAGGCAGCAAATTCCAAAAGCGGGGGTCCACAGCAGAAAAGGCCTTCTCCCTTGTTCCCATAAGACGAGTCTGTGATAGAGGAAGGGGTGAGAGAAGGGCCTCTTCAGTGGAGGTTTGTGGTAGGAGATGTGGTCACAAAGGTAGGTGGGTCCCAAACTGTTCAGGGCTTTTTAGGTAATAACCTGCACCTTGAATTGGAACCGGAAGATGATGCTTTATGTAAACCTCTGGATTAATCTGGAGAAAACTGGGTAAGTTTTTGAGAGAAAAATGGGGTGCCTAGATGCCCTCTCAGGTCAACCTTTGGGAAATCTAGCCACCTCCCAATGAAAACTCCATTGTTTGAGTTGGTGGTGGGGACAAAATCTAAGGAGATACTGAGTTAAAATAATCTAGTTTCTCCCGGGATTTAGGGCAGTGTGAAAGGTCCTCAGTGTGGTTGCCTGTAAAAGGGCCCAATAATGCAATACAAAGTCATAGAATAACATATGAACCCCTCAGGTGGAAAAGAAATCAAAATGGATGTTTAAAGAACGTTCAGCTGAGGAAAGATTTAAATGGAATGTGTACAACCAGCAAAATATTGACAAACTGGATTGTGTCCAGAGGAAGGCAACCAAAATGGAAAAAGGTCTGGAAGCCAAGTCCTACCAGAAGTGGCTTAGGGCGATAGATATATTAAGTTTGTAGATTATTAAGCAGGGACATGACAGCCATATTTAAATATTTGAAAGCATGTTACATTGAGGAGGGAGCAAGCTTGTTTTCTTCTGCTCAAGGGACTAGAAGATGGAGTGACAGATTCAACTTACAGGAAAAAGATAATTCCATCTAAACATTATGCTGCTTTGGAGTATGAGCTCCTTCTTTTAAGCAGGATGGGTAGCAATCTATTGGGAGTGCTTTGATGGCATATTACTGTATCGCAGGGGTTTGGACTGGATGGTCCTTCTGGTCCCTTCTGATTCTATAATTCTGCTGTTAAAGATATGATTTTACATATTTCTGAATGAATTTTCTCCCAAAGTATACATTTCTAACAGTATTCACTTACTTCAATTTTCTGCCACAGTGTAAACATCTGGTAAAACAGCACTGTATATATCAAGTCTTAATAATCACAATTAAACGCATTCTTACTCCAAGTTGTAATTTGATAACATATGGAAAAGTCAAAAGGCAGCAAATACTGATAAAACTCATTGTACAATTTATTATGCTGTTGTATACATTTTTGAGCCAAGAACCACACAATAATATTCAGAAAGCTCTGACATCCAAAGGATAATATATTTCTGATGCATATGTTCTTTCAGGAGGTGCCAAGTGAAGGTACTTTGCTTCAAATTGAGGACCATAATGAAATTCTCAGCCTTCCCTAATGACAACATCTCTTCTCAGATGGACAGGTATTCATTGCATCAATAGGTCGATAAAGGATCACGTATTCTTCCAGGCATCCATGACATCCTAAAAAGAAATTCTGAATTAAATTAACATCAGGAAGAAGACAGAGTGAGCAGTACAAGAACAATAGAAAAAATGAATTAAGAAAATCTGTTCTCTAGTTATGTCTCTAGCTATTACTGCAAATAATGATCTGACAGCTTCTGGATATTAGAATACATCAGAGAGTTAAGTTAGAGAGAACATGCTGACTGACTTTGATAGGCTTCAGTGCATACTCAACATTGTGTTGGAAGATGGCCTGGGTGTATAAACAATGAATCCCTAGAAATATATATTGTGTGCCCCAAAAAGTTCATAAATAGACAATGAAGTGTTTCCATGGACTAATAGTAGTAAATTTGAAGTTGGACTTCTTAGACCTATATTGAATTTGTGTTGGTCCTACAAAATAGCACCTGGATAAACTGCACTTTGACTAACAACTAAACTGTACTGAATAAATCACACCGTACATTACCATCAGGCTCCCGGTCAAGAGGCATGCTGTGAGATGTTCTGCTTTATGGACCACAAAGTTGGATCAATATAAGAAATCTATCTGGTAAAATTTATTTAAGGAGAAAGCACAGTCGTGTATTAAGTTAAACCCTGTGGCTAAGATTTCACATGAAAGGGAGGTGGGGGAGAGAGAAGGATCAGCCCAGAGAGTCGAAACAGATTTGAGATGTAAGAGTGCCACTTGCTGGCTCAGAGAGGAAAGAGAGTTTGTACTTTATCGCTGTCAAGACAACAATTCAGAAGTAGTAGCTTAGTTTTAAACAGCCCTCCCTTTCATGTAATTCATGGATTATGATGTTCCTCGTATTCCACTATTGTGACTGGAATCTCACAAAACTCTGGTTATTACTCTATAACAAAGTCATTTAGTAATCCTCCAGATATTGATGAATTGCAATGCCCAGCATCCCTAACCAGTACTGCGAGTAATGATGAATGCTGAGGGGGCTAAGCAATATCTGTACAATTCCCAGCACTGCACTATAGTCATGGCATAGTCTTTTTATCCTCTCTTTGGCAGGAGAGGGCTTTTGAGAAGCAAAAGCATGGAGAAAAGCACTCAGCACATTTCAGATCAATTTCAATATGGCTCATATGATCATACAAATGATTCAATTGCTTAAAGGTGGAGTTGACAAAGAGGCAAAAGAATGATGCAATCACCATTCCTTATGACTTTTTAAAACATTCATGCAGCTTTAAACATAATACACAAACAGCTAGTTTTTCTCCTCAACCTTGTTGCCTAGCAGATCACAAAGGTAAGAACAATTTTGATGTAAGTTTTTTTCAGTTTTAACATCAATGAAACCTTTTATGTATTAGATGATGATGGCAAAGGATGAGAGTATAAAGGGTTTTTTTTTTAAAAAAAAAAGTTCCTACTCTATATTTATTCTTCCCATTTCTGACATTTTATCAATAAAAACAATACTGGAAAAAGAAAGAAAGTTCAGATAAATATGACTGAGTAAAACATACCATTCCAAAAAACAAAAGGAAGGGGAAAACCTCAATCTCAGGTACTATCTTAAAACCATCATTTATTTTTTTTTAGCTTACAGTCATCCAAAGGAGGCATTTTAGCCCACCCGCCTAGAGCCACATTTTCAGCAGAAACCACACAGGACCAAGTAAGCATTTTATAGCATTGCCCCTTGAAGAGCTGTAAAAATATTACTGAGTTCCAGCTACCTTGCATGAGCGAGAACGTAAATCTTCATACCTTTCATTGTATTTTTCCTTCTTTGCAATTTTTTAAAATAGAAAATTGCAGTTTTCAAAGATTATTCACATTTCAGGATTTATTCAAGGGGGGGAAGTACCCACCCTATAAAACAGCATTTTCATGTAGAAAAGGTAACATTTCTTCACATAACATGTCGTTTTATATACATTCCTGCCCCCATTAACCCATGCCTTTGTGCAACATAATTTCTAAATGGCATAGATTCTTGCCTATTTGAGAGTGCACCTACACTGTAGAATTAGTCCAGTTTGATACCACTTTAACAGCCATGGCTCAGTGCTTTGGAATCCTGGATATTAGAGTTTTAAATGACTTTTTACTGCTCTATCAAAGAATGAACATGCCTCATCAAACTACAAATGCCAGGATTCAATAGCATTGAGATATGCCAATTAAATTGGTGATATTCTGCATTCATTATACAGTGTAGACACACCCATAGTGTTTGTGTATTGTGGGATATCCTTTCTTAGGAACCACATACACTTTTATGCTACTGGGGCAGTTTTGTAACCTGAAATACACCAGATTCCTCATTGGGTCATCTTGCAGAACATGATTTTGCAGTACATGAGCTGAAAGTAACAGGGATACCAAAGAAGGAAGAACTAATGTAAATAATATAGTATTATCGGCAAAATCTTCGGAAAATGTGTACACATGACACCACTTTCTTGAAAACATATGAGTAAGTAGCACCAACTGGAGATGTGCCAAGAAAGAGGTGTAGTAGACTATGAATAATTCCACAGCAACATAAAAACACTTCACGCATAACATTCCAAATCTGCTGATTAAAAATAAGCGATGGTCTCTGGGAATGTGGAAAGCATTTGCGTGCTTTACAATTTTATAGCTCTTTTAAAATCAAATTGGAGATTGTACTTTATGACACTTTTCAATAAAGGATTTTGCATTGTCAGGAAGTTGAAGAGGTACAAGCCCATGGTGGATAAGAGGAAATCCATATCTTGCTCATTGGCATGTAAACAATCATTAAAATGCTACATGAAAAGGCTGCCCATTTACATTACATTAAAATGTTTGCTCTAGAACTAGAAGGACTGATAACTTGCTCTTTTAAATCCAATGCTGTTATTGTTGTTTGAATGTTCTGCATTAATGTTTGTAATCTGCATACTGTGGGGATAAGAACAGCCTCCAAGTGCCTAGATCACTTAAGAATGACATGTAATTTTAGAAGTAAGCTCTTTTCGTATTCATGAGTCACTGTATACTTAAGATTGATGTTGCCTTTCTATTTATCTCAGTCATATAAAAAGATTTAAAAGAATGTTGTAGGTTCTGTTTTTTGGTGGGGTACCCTTTTATTTCTAAGTATTATTTGTTGGTATTGGAGTTCTGTTTCTTGATTGTGATAAGTATAAAAAAGTTTAAGATCCCAATATGTTTATTTTACCAATGTAAATAATGAAGAGTGGCAACTGTGTAGTGAAATTCATGACTTTTTCCCCATCCGTCACACTGACTCGGGTAGAGCTACCTTTGGGGAAAAAACATATTGGATCATTTTTTCCTGTGTAGAGTGAGGGAAAACTGAATGTTACAACACCTCAAGGGAGGTACACTTATGAGTAAAAGGTTTCCCCATCCCTGGGAAGAGCTGAGAGGCTATTTCAAACAAGAAAGAATGCAAAAATCAGCCATTGAAAGCAAAAGCAGACTATATTCTAGGAATCAAAGACTAAAAAGAAGATACAGAACTCTTGTAAAATTTCTACAGGAGATTGTCCATGGTGACTTTTCTCCTAGTTATTCAATACAGATTGATTTTCTAATCCCAGCATTTTGTTTTTATCTTTCTATATTTCAAAAAGATGGGAAATTCCCCACAAAAAAGAGAGAAAACCCTTCACTTTAAAGAAAGCATTGTGTTTGCAACTATAAACCCCAAAACAATGGCATTCATACCACACGTGAAATCCTGCCCATGTTAATTGAACACGTTGACACATTGATGCATACTTTGGAAGTTGGTAAACTTCAATATTCATCATAAGTAAGCACAAGAATTCTCCATTATTTGATTCACTAGAAAAAAGAAGACCCAGAGGTGTGGAGTAATATTTCCTACTAAAAAAGCAATGTGATTCAGACTACTTATAATAACCATGCAAGCTCTAAACATAAGTACAATTTAGAGATGGACAGAATATATAAAGAAATTTGAAAATTGGTCAAAAGACATGTTTTTGAGTGTCAAGGAAACTCTGGTGACAAAAATCCTGAACTGATGTGAATCTTCATAGTGCAGGATATGAAAAATTCACCCATTGATGTCTTGCGCAGAAAGAGGCAAAAAAATGTTAATTCCTGCACAGAAAACATTGTTTCTTGTGCAGAAAAAGCTATGATTTGGGTTTTTTAAAAATTTGCACATTGCTAATTTGCATAGAAAGCAACATTTTGCATACAGATTAACTTTCCACGCATGGTGTTTTCTGTGCAGAAAGTGCCATTTTCTGCATAAAATATTCACATGCAAATTTTGCACAGAATAAGTCTCAAATTGCAGCATATTGTAAAGCCATTCTCACAATGAGAAGATAATTGCCACATTCAAGAAGAAACTTAGTGAAACATTACATCTCAGGCACATTCATAATCCCTACTTCCAGCTAACTATCTGTACCAAGAAAATAAAAGTGGCATATCCAAGTTTGTCATATAATGGATCAGCCATGCCTTTTAGATTGAAATTGAATGTTTTCTTCTCTTTGGGAAACAAAAGTCAGATTTCATTCAAAATGATGCCATTTCTTTAATTATCTCACTACTATAGAATGGTAACTACCATCCTTAATTTAAACATACATATACTGGGAGATAATGCAGAATAAACATATTGCTAATGATGACATTTGTTACCTGTTTAATGGCTATTCCAAAACAAAGTAATCTATTCACAATTTTGTAGCTATTCCACAACCATTTAGCACCAATAGAAATCGGTTACCTAGGAGATGATGGAGATGCAGCAAAGACTAGAAGGCCTAGATTGAGCCAAATGATCAATACTCACAAATCCAAGAATAATTACGTACATTCCTAGGCATTCAAACAACAGTTTAGCCTGAAAACAATTTTTAACATCACAGGTCTTTCCAACAGTTCTTAATCCCGAAATCTCTAGGCAGAAAAGAAATTGAATCCAGCATAGCTTCAACTGACCTATGCCCATCTTGAGCTATTGTCACAGACTGGGTGGGTATGCATAAAGAGACGTTCAGACTGAAGCAACCACCCAGAATCAGCCCAGCATTTTCAGAAAGCGAGATAGAACTCAACCAGTCCTTTAAATGAATTTATCCTTTCTGGTCTTGTTAGAGACACTCTCAAGTCATTGATCATGGTGGTCCTAAAGGGCAGGAGAGAACAAGGTGAATGCTCCTTCATCTTCCTTTATGCTGATATGGCAGCACAGAGATGGTTCCAGGATTAAAAATAAGTGATGTACCTTGCAGCCAATTTTTACATCCAAACTATATAGTCCATATAGTCTATTCATAAAACATTTCCAGGCAATAACTATACAAATCTAATATATTTAACACTTTTTATTTAGGGTAGCATGCTGTGATTACTTGATCAATCAGAGCTGGGGGATGTACAGTCAATGTGGACCCCAATTATCTGTAGAACTCTCAAATTGGACTGTACATTTTGTCGTTTTTGTTTTTTGTTTCAAACTTAAAATGGCCAGTTGCACCCTTCAAAGAATCAAAACATTTCTACACTGAATCAGGCTTTCCCCCAAATACCAGTCACATTCTGTTTGGAAACAAGGTTTATGTAAACCTGAAATAAATGGGT